TTGGACATTATTTTATCCCCCCCCCCCCCCCAATTCGCATTAATGTGCAGCATTTTAATATTTTACTAAAATCAGCATAGGTTAAAGGGATTCAATCTAATTATATGATGATGATACTTGACACGTTTAATAATAAATGAAGGGGTTTTGCATTACTGAACTCAGAATAAAAGAGATATGTTAAAACAATACTGAAATTTAAATAGATTTCCTTCATGCGGAATCATATATATCTTTTTATCTCTTTTTAAAATTATTATAAAGTAAAACTAACTAAACAATAAAACTAAACCCCTAAAAAAGCATTATCTGAAATAAAATAATGATCTGAAATCTAATTTTATTTCAGCTAGTTGCAAAATCAACATTTCTCATTTTCATTTAGTTGAACTCGATGTACTAAAATAACTAAATAAATGAATAACTAATTCTTAAAAACTATAAAAACTATACTTATTCAAAACAAAAATTAAACTAATAGAATAACGGATAATAATTAAACTAATACAAATGGCAAACAACAAAATTGCTAAAACTTTAACTAAAATTAGCAGGTAATCAGAAAATATAATTTTTTTTATTAAAAAATATATTAAAAATTCTATATTATCCTAATGATAGTAAAATATCCCTGACTCTGTGAGATTCTGTTGAATGAAGTAGTCAAACCTGACTGAATTTCATCCTAATCCATCACAAACACAGCATTTATGCTGATGTTTCATATTAATGCAGCGATTGAGTGACCCTGCGACCTATGCTTGACCCTTTGACCCGGTTTCCGGCACAGCAACCTTCAGCTCTTTCAGCGTCTGGTCAAACACGTGCATATTTAATGTGTGTGTGAGCAAAACATCACAGACCTGTCACACCCTAGCAACCGTCGCCGCCTGACATCACTGGCTGATGTGTTGTGGGCGGGTCACAGGCGTTTGATTGACGCGCTGCAGCTCTGTAAGGTTTGTAAACTGCATGCAGTCGAGATCAAAGGCTCTCCAGGAATCAGCAAACGGGCCCCCGAGGCTTTGATGGAGAACGGGTGGGGGCCATCAGAGACGGATAATCTTATGATCTCCCACAATGCCCTGCTCCTCAACCTGCGTCTCTATTATGAGCCCTGAATCACTGTGACGGCTGTGATCCTCACTGAACACGGCAGATTCTCTCTCTCTCTCACACACACACACACACACACACTTCACTGGAGGCGATGAACAACAAATACACCACTCTGAATCAATCATCTGTACATCAAATACTTCAAACAACTGCATTCGTTTATGAACGCTGTCATTTACAGTTATGCATAAAGGTCTCAAGTAACCGTTTTGTTTTTGTATCTTTTTGTATAAATTAAATTTAGAGACAAATACTATGCAATGCTTATTATGTAAAATAAGGTAAAATCCAGACAAATTAAAATGGACAACGCAGGAATTCTCAAAAAATAAAACATTTCATATGTGCCTTTTATTGTAAAAAATACATAAATAAATAATAATAATAATAAGTGATTAAATTGTTAAAGTTTTATGAATTCAAGTCATTAGAATTCAAGAAGAAGAAAAAATGGAATTCAGGAAAAAAATAAACCAGATTTCATAAGGCCCTCATAAAAAAGCTTACTTGTTTTCGGTTAATACATAAATCTGTGTATAATTATTATGTAATTGTGTATGAAGACAGTCCTTCAGCAGCTCATACTGTTGTAATGTCTCAGCATGAACTAACCAGGCTTCCATCTGAACATTTGTCCAAACTTAAAGCACAACATGGTTTCATATATTGGGATGAGATTAACTGAAATAAACATCATTGAATCACATTGTAAACAAACAGTTGAGACTCACCTCCAAAGACTGCTGGGAAATCAGCACACACTGACCAAACTGAAAGAAAAGCACAGAAAACACGTCATCTGGAGATGCGTGATGAGCTTCTGAGTCCTGATTCATTATAACATCCAAGAATGACTGAATGCATCTCCATTTCTGCCTGATTGATTTTACAGTAAGAGTGGAATGAGAACATCACTGCAAAAACATTAAATGAGTTTGAGCATTTTTCTGTATGAAGAATGACATGCAGATATTTTTAGTCTAAGAATGACTGAAGTGTTCAGATTAGAGATATTATGCTGGATTATCACAAAAATATTAGTATTATGGTCAATACTGAGATCATGATAATTTAAAATGATTATGTAGTAACTTTGGAAACATGCATTTACTGAACTTTTACATTTTAAAAACCATTTCAACAATGTTATTAAACATGGTTTTGTATTGGAAATATTTTAAGTTATTGAAATTAAAAATAAACTTTTGAAATAAGACATTTTTACAGTTTTTTAAATATAATTCTGAATCTAATTCTGAAAAACAATTTATAAAACAAGATAAATAAAAAATATAATTGTAAATCAATGAAAATTATTATTTAACATGGTTATGCAATGACCTTGGAAATATCTCTATACTGAACTAAAAAAAACTTTGAAATTTGCAACAGATTATTTAAACTGAAATAGTAGGCAATCAAATTAAAAACAAATACAAATACATGTAAAATAAACAAAATAAATCATTGTAAATCAGAATTTTTAACAATTATGCACTGACTTTGTAAATGCATTTATGTGACAGACTGATGGACTGATGGCTGAAGGACTGATAAGCTGAAGGACTAATGGACTGAAGGACTAATGGATTGAAGGACTGATTGGCTGAAAGACTGATGGGCTGATGGACTGATAAACTGATGGGCTGATGGACTGAAGGGCTGATGGGCTGAAGGACTGATGGGCTAATGGGCTGATGGGCTTATGGACTGATGGACTGATAAACTGATGGGCTGAAGGACTGATGGACTAAAGGGCTGATGGGCTGAAGGACTGATGGGCTGAAGGACTGACG